GATTTCAATACGAATCCAGCGGTGGCGACGAGGGACACCCAGGAGGCCCAAAAAGGGGAAAACTGGCGAAGGGTAGAGGCATGGGTACCTATTGCCTCCTCTGAGAAACGCCCGGGGGGTGGGGAACAAAAACCGCCTGCGAACGTTGCCTTTACGCCTCCTTGCGCTGCCGTAGCCGAACCCAGACATGCGACGTCCTGATTTTTTGAATACGGGGTCCCTGGATTAGCTCTCCGGCGCTTTCTTCGGTCTCCAGACGGGCAAGATGGCTTCCAATGTGTGCGGCTGGCTGCCCGTGTAAGACGTCAGTCCCATAGAGCTGATACTCACAAACTTTTTATGCGAATGGTCCCTTATCCGAAGAGTCACTCGAATAATCCTTCCCAAAAAGGAAATACAACCATGATGTCACCACGGGAATCCCGATACGCAAAAACAACCAGAACCCGGGAGAAAGAGGCTGAGCAAATGCCACGAGTTGGTCCCAAAAAGACAACGATGAACTTGTCCCATGTGTCGCTGGCGCGAGAGACAAATCCAAGAACCGAAACGATGGCTGCGATCCTGCCGCAGCTATGGAGGAAGGTTCCCAACTATTGTGTCCAACAAAGTCCAGGCGAAAACGTGGACAGTGAAAACGAATGAATTGTATATGTGGAACCCAACAAAATCTGCATGAAAACCTGTCCTCAACTGCGGCCTCGTGTTGGGTCGTATACGGCCAATGGCGGTGACCAAGTTGAGATGAACCTCGTTCAAGACTTGGGATAGCTCGAGGGAGCCGTTCCCAATCGCCGCCTGCTAATCTAACACGAATCCCACCAGCCCATGAGGGCGTAGGTGGTCTAGGGTGTTTTGTTTTCCATCTGCCCCTTTTCCCCTTCGGGGAGGGGTTTATCACTGTTCCCTATTAATAAACACCCCCTCCCCCAGGCGACTGGGGGCCAACCCAGGTCCATGACGACACCCCCTCACCATCCCTTGTAACAAACAATACAAAACACACTCTGCCTCCAAATTCGGAACATGCACGGCCATGCCGATGCGGCCCCCCCCGCCATCCCTCTCAACAAAAACAATACAGAGTACACTTGGCGGCGGCGGCGGCAGCGGCGGCTGCGGCGGCGGTGGCGGCGGCTGCGGCGGCTGCGGCGGCTGCGGCGGCGGCGGCGGCGGCTGCGGCTGCGGCTGCGGCGGCGGCGGCGGCGGCAGCGGCTGCGGCGGCGGTTTGGCAGCGGGGGGGTGCGGCGGCGGCGGCGGCGGCGGCGGCGGCGGCGGCGGCGGCGGCGGCGGCGGGCGGCGGCGGCGGCGCGGCGGCGGCGGGCAGCGGCGGACGGCGGCGGCGGCGGGGGCGGCGGCGGCGGCTGCGGAGGAGGCGGCGGCGGCGGCGGCGGCGGATTGGCCCCCAGTAGCTGCCCATCCAAAGACGACTGCTGAATATGCTGAGGCTCGGGCCAGACTCGGGTGCTACGTATGTGTTGGGAGGGCGGGTGGGAGTGAGCGAGACGGCTTGCGGGCGGGGAGGGGGTCTTGACCCCTCCCCCTACCCCCTCCCCTGGACCTGGACGGGGCTGGTCGCAAGGTGTCAGGGCGTCCATAACGGCCTCGGCGAGGAAGCCAAAATCATTGGTGCGCCAAAGAGGCCTCCAAGAGGCTCCCCAGGAACCCCAAATACGCCCTAAGAAGCTCCCCGAGGCACCCAAGAAGCTCCAAAAGGCTCGCGGGACCGCCAAGAGGCCCGCTCGAAGAAGTCTCCACTGGGGGACCCTTTGCGTGCTGCCCACTTCCCTGATCGAGGCAACTCCTCTGGGCATCGTTTCTGGATGAGCTGGTGGGGTCACGCGAAGCGTCTAGAACATCGAACATTGACAACCGTCTTCGGATCTCTGAAGTCTTTAGTGCCATTGCACAACGCGTCGCATAACACTGGGATTCCAAGCACACAGACACAAAACTGGCATATTGCTTGAAATAGTGCGGCTGGCCGTACACAGATGCTGCTTGAGCCCAACGGTCCAGAAAGGACGAACAATTCGCCATGACTGCCACCCCACAAATTCCGCGCTGGCTTAACGCTGTGTCTGTAGAAATTGCCGGTTATTGTTTTGCCCTCGCAAATTGGGCATCATGGCCAAAACCCGTGCCGTGTTGTGGGCGGGATGCGCCATTTCACTGCTGGCTGAGTGCGTCTCCTGGACGGGACGTGCAGCGGCACACATGGATGGCGCTTCTGCGCTGCAGTTTCACTCCCGTTTAGCCAGTCGGTCTGTGTACCTGTTCAACCTCGCGACCCACGTCTGCCCGATGTCCACACACTGTTCCATCCACATTCATAAATCCGCCCATCCATTCACCAACAGATCCATCCAAACAATTTTCTTCCCATCCACGCATCAATCCCTCCCTCATCCTCCTCCCCCTGTTACTCGTCCTCAGTATTCGCTTCTTCCTGTCGCTAATCGCCACTACTCGCGCGATGATCTCTCTCCCTCTCCCTCTCCCTCTGTCAATCACTCACTCACTCTGTCTCCCTGTCTCTCCCTCTCCCTCTCTCTCCCTCCCTCTCCTCTCTCTCTGTCACTCACTCACTCACCCTGTCTCTCTCTCTCTCTCTCGCTCTCTCGATCTCCCTCTCTACTGGGCAATCCCCTCCTTGGAGGGTGAAGGCAACTAACCCGGGAAGAGCGTGGGACTGGGCCCGTGGGACTGAGCCGCATCAGCCCCAAGAGCAGCACGGCAGGCCTGCAGCCAGCAACACCGCCCCCCGCCCGCGCGGCCAGGCGCGCCCTCGAGGAGAGAAGGGCCGGGACGCCGAGGTCCCCTGCAAGCCAGAACGGCTCACACGAGAGGAAGCGGCCAGAGAAATGGAGGGGGGGGGCCTCCTCCTCCTCCTCTTTTGGGTACTCCCACTTCTCCTCCTCCTCCTCCTCCTCATCCTCCTGGGAAGCACGCGCGCGGTCGATCGGCACCGCCGCGACGGGCAGGATGAGTCCGCGCTGCGCGATACCGCCGAAGGCCGGTCCCTCCTTCGCCGTGCCACCAGTCAGCCAGCCCGCCTTTCGTCGCGACTTCTGCAGCGAGCAGTGCGATGCTCGATCAGCTTCCCACGCGCCCAGTTCCGCTCCGACGCCTTCGGGAGAGAGAGAGAGAGAACCCACCCAAAAAAAAGAAGAGAGAGAGAGAGAGAGCGTGCGAACACTTTTGCGAAACCTCTCTGGGACAAGGACCGGAGACGCTGTCTTCTCCTTCTCCTCTCGCTCCTCCTCCCCCCCCTCCTCCTCCACCTCCTCCTCCTCCACCTCCTCCTCCTCCTCCGCCTCGTCCTCCTCTCTCTTTCGCTATTCCCCCCGAGTTGCTCCACAAGGTTTTTCACAACGTGGGAACACATGTTCGAATAGCTAGGCCAGGCCAGACTTCGGCTCAACGTTTGGCCACATAGGCGTTTCCAGAACGGCAGGGGGTGGCGGTGACTCGCCGTAGGCGTCTTCCATGTGCTGCCTCCGCAGCCTGCTGCAAGGATGCTGCCGTGCCAAATTCTATAGGCATTTCGCTACCTTCCAAACCAAAATCCTGGTGGCATCCAGCCTAACCTGCCGGCCACCCGGAGAAGATCGCGAAAGGTGGACACCGTACGCTTCTCCGTCCAAGATGGCTCCACGAGGGTGTCCAAAAGGGCCCTTTGTCACCGCCAAGTCGACCCAAGATGGCCTCAACGGCCACCAAGTGGGCGCAAGATGCCTTCAAGAGGAATCGAGATTGCCCCAAGACGACCGAAGATTGCCCCCTAGCTGCCCAAGAGGTCACAAGAAGGCTCCCAGAGGGGGGGCCTCGAGAGATAAAATCAGAGATACATGATTCTTCTTCACGGTCTTAAGAGCGTCCAGAATGGCCCAAGCGGATCATCCCAAGATGGCAGAACAGATCTCCCGGATAACCGCAAGATGGCCAAGAGAGGCCCCTGAGACGGCCCCCGAAGGCACCAGACGGCCCAAGAGCAAGAAGGCCCCAGGAGGCCACCAAGAAGACGCCCAAAGGCCTGGAAAGAGCCCCAAGATATCTCCAAGACGGCCCCAGGCCACAGTGGTTTCGCTCGACCTTGCACGACTCAAGCGGCTCCAAAGCCAAGGGGCGGCAATGACTCACCCAATGCGTCCTGGGTACTGCGCAGCCGTGGATTGAACATAGTTCGAACTCATGTCATAATGCTGGGACTCCGCCGTCCGACGACAACGAATGATCATAGCGCCCATCACCTGTCATCATGTCCGCCTTCGGTCACTGCTGCCTAAACCGCGCTCCATTCTTGGAATGGCGAGACCCCAGCGTGATCAACTGGGTGTCGCGCCGATGATATGCATCAGCTGTCTCGTCGGGCCACAGCTCGCACTGGAAAGCCCCATGATTGCAGATAGTCCGCACTCTCTCCCTCTTTTGCTGCTGCCGCTGTCCCTCCTCCTCCCGATACCGATAGTCACACATGAGCGCAAAGATTTGGCGGCGCGCGCAAGGGGGTGGAGGGAGGGGGGAGGACTTCTTAGAAGGAGGCTGCTTCTTAGAAGGCGCCAGCCTTGCATATGTAGATAAGGCCCGCGCCTTCTGAGAAGCAGAGGTGCTTCCAAGAAGCCCTCCCCCCTTCCCCCCACCCCCCTTTGCGCGTGGCTGGAAGATGGCGAGGCCGCGGAGTCGAAGATCTCACCCTCGCCATCTGCCCCCCCCTCCTCCCCCAGCCCCGTCCGCGCCTCCTCCCCCCCGACGCCTCCCCTCCCTCCGCCGCCCTCGAACGCCGAAAGGCAGAGCCGCGGACTGCGCGCGGCGGGAGGAACGCACCAGAGTTAGGTCGGGCATGTCCTCCTGCAGGCGGATCCTGGACGCTAAATTAACACAGAACCAACAAAATGCCCCCCAAATAACCAACAGTTGTAAACACAACATCGTCCCCTGACCATGTTTCTACTATTGTTGAACATTCATCCTGCAGAGTGACGCGCCCGACTTAACACCAGAGCACGGGCGGTGGAGCGCGCGGGCGCGAGGCGGTCACCGCCAGTCTTCTTGGCTCCGATGAGGCCGACGGTGCTCTCGTGCCTGCGGCTGCTGACCCGCGCTGCCAGCACACGGCTCCCTCGCCCCGAACCCCGCACAGGAGCTGCAAGCCGACTGCACGAGGCTGGACTCTGGCATGTTCGTGGCGCCGGTTCCGGCCACGTGCCCCGTTGCGAGACGTGGGACAGAACAGAAACAACCACTCGACTTCGATGCTGACATGGGACATGGGCAAGGACAGAACCGCTGCACGCACCCAAAACACACACAACAGCGCGCTGGGCTGGTGCACAGAGTTCCACCAAACATTTGCTTGCGCACCTGACGAGCATGTATGTGCTCGACGCAGGGGGGCCGTGCTGCAAGCACGACATGCGCGACCTCTTGCAACTTGGCGCTGTTGCTTATGAGATGGGCGTCAACGCCTCTCGATCTTGACGCGGAACTTTCTCTGTACCTGGCGCCAGGATGGCTCCAACATAGACCATTGCAGCATACCCCTCTTTGTACACAAACAAGAACACGACTATGAAAATCACACCATAGCTCCGCTCTCCACATGTTTCAACAAAGCAAACAATAATCTACAAAGGGCATCTTAGAGGAGGCTCCGTCCAGGTCGATATACATGTATATTGTTTGCACGTGCGTAGAATATGGGGCCCAATCCGAATCCCCTCGCATACCTTGGACGACAACCCTGACGATCCTTTCACCGAAACAAGCGGTTGTGTCCCTGGTTGTGGAGTGTGGTGCTTTCACCTTGGGCGAACTCAGCAAGGAGCGCGGAACACCAAGGTGCTGAAGGCAGTCGCCGCTACTGCTCAAAGCGACAGCCAGAGTCGAACTGCTGACGGGTAACCGAGCGCCCGCTCCAACCATACAGCCGATCTCTGAAACCTCCGCAAGGCCACCGTGTCACTGTGTCGAGGTTTCGAAGGCACCGGATGCAGCGCTGGATTGTAAATACCTGGCTGCAGCAACTGCCAGGGTGAACTTCGCATGTGCCTGGCAATGCACGTGAAGTTCTGCTCTTGCAACCAATGTGCAAACTGCTGTGCGCCTTCACAATGCAAGGAGCCCGCCTGTGCGACTTTGCTGTGGAAATCCGTGACGACTCGGGCAACGACTGGGTAGCCTGCGAAAGGGTTCTTGTGCACAGTGAGCCAGACCCTCTAGAGACATCAATCGTGCGCAAGGTGAACTCCGCCGCGCAAGCTCACGCTGAGCAGCAATCGTGGTAGATGGCGTCCATACTCCATGTGTCCTCATCTGTGAAACAGACCCATCCGGTCCTTCCCTTGGTGAAACCGCCCTATCGTACAACTACGGTGGGATTCATTGTTTTATGGAATATCTGCTCCGAGCACGTCGTCTGCTAGATGGTAGCACCTTCGTGCAAGGACTTACTCCTGACGGCTCGTGTCGCGTTTCTCAGGCCAGCCGCAAATCAGACCAAAACCACCACTCCTCGTCGCATCCCCCTGGGCGCCCTTGTGCAATCAGACCAGTCTCCGGCTTCTCGAAAATTCGCCGGCCCAACGGGCCAGAGGCGTGCTAAGATCTCCGGCAACTTGTTAACAATATTTCTAGTTCGCGCGCGCGGAGCGGCCCCTGGGGCCCCCCGGACGAAAAGTACCCCGGCAAGGTCCCGAGAGAAGCCCGGGAGAAGCCACCAGACCACTCCAGGGGAGGGTATTTTTCGACACCCCTCACGAGGATCGTGGCCTCCGAGGGGGGAGCCGCAATCGACTACCCCCAAGAGCCCCCCAAGAGGCCCTGGGGGCCTCCAAAACGCCGCCAAGGAGCCCCAAGAGACTCCCAAGAGGTCCCCAAGAGGCCCCCAAGAGGCCCTAAAGAGGGCTCCAGGGCCGGCGGCATGAGCGAAGCGATTAATAAACAAGATGGAGTCCAGTATGGCCGACGAAAGTCGCAGAGGCCGCAAAGAGGGCAGGATGGCCCAGCGTTGGCTCGAGATGGAATCGATACCCCTCGACTAATTAGGCCAATCGAAGATGTCAAAAGACATCAAGAGGCCTCCGCGAAACACTGACACGCGTGAACACCTAAAACGTGAAGACTAGAAAAAAAAACGACAGATGTTTCAATCTTCGCAACCTCTCATCACTTTTTCACACCGCAGGCCGGGAAGATGCCTCAATGGACCCCCCGACCGCCCCACGAAAGGGCCCAGTCGCTCCGAGAGAGCCCGAAGCCAGCGCGAGACCGCCCCAACACCTTCACCAGCTCGCGGTGGGGATGGAGCAGACGAGAAGGGGGATCGGGAGGGGGAGGACGGGGGGGATGGAGAAATAAGAGGGTACAGGCTGCCCCTCTCCCGGGAGCGTGCTGTCCAGGGTTTCGAGGCAGATCCAGCCGTGCCGACGAGGAGGGGGCGGCTGCATCGGCATGTGCTCTTGCTCTGCGGGGCGGGGCAGCGAAACAGACAGAGGGCGACACGACGAGGCCCCAGGTGGACGCGCTGGGCACGTCCGCTTTCAGGTGCGTGTCCGCCAGGGGGGGGTTGCTCCCGTCGTCCACGACGACGATCTCGTGCAGCACCTGCGCGGCGCCACCATGAGAGAGGCCCCCGAGACCCGTGACACGCACACGCGCAGGCGCAACGCGAATGACAGTGCCCGAGGTGGGGTAACTACGCACCCAAGCGGGGGCCACGTGCGCGGCGGCAGGTGCTGTGCGAGGTGGACCGCGGCTGCTGCCGAGGGGAGACAGAGCACGCCACCGGAAACCAACCGCGCCCATCCTGCAGCGCTCAAACATTACGGTCTGGAGCTTTTGCTCAGCGTGCCGCGGCGGCGGCCCTGGCGACACGCCCTGCCTCGCAAACGGATGGCGTGTCGCTCCGCTTCGCGGAGCGACACGCCGGAAAGAGCTCGGAGCAGCGACGCTGGGGGACCAGGACGTACTTAGCGCGTCGCAGACCTAGTCTGTCTGGAGTCACCGGCAGCCTCCCCCCCAAAGCCCTTTCCGACCACACACCCCGCGCACACCGCTGCCAATCACGGTGCGTGGCGAAGGACGGACGGAGCGCAGCAATCTGGCAAACGACTCGCCCGCCAGCTCGAAAACGTGGGACAACAGCCAGGAGATGTATATACAGCCAACCCGTATCACAAAAAAGCGCGGTAAGTATGCAGCGTTTTGCGAACGAGGCTGGCCAGCAAAAGTCGCTAAGGACTGGCCGAAGACGCAAGAATGCAACACAGACATGTCCTGATTTTTTCAGGACGGGGTCCCTGGAAGTCCCGACCCGTTCCCCGGGACCGGTTTTCCGTCCTGAGAAGTTTTTTGACGGTCCCGAGGCCCAGCGAGGGCCCCCCGAGGTCGAAAATGCCCGAAAACCTCCCGTCCTGATTTCTGTCACGACGCGATCATGTCTGGGAAGCGTACCCTTGGGAAGGTTGCCCCGTCCTTCCTATGGAGGGAGCCCACGAAGGACGTACGCGCCCAACCACGTACGTGAATACGGTCCACCAGCTCGCGAGACCAGTCACGTGATACGAACGTTCGCGCAACGCGTATTCTTGAAACCATCGTGGATTCATGTACGTGTATAGTCCTTCGTTCGCTCCTGACTGTGCGGGTTGACAGTGCGCCAGGCTCGCTCTGCGAGCGCACAACCCCGCGGCGCGTGCGCGCCAGCCCCGCGGCGCGCCGGAGCACGCCGCGCGGTGCGCCGCGATCCCCCGCTCGCCTCGCCTCGTCTGCTCAGCCTCGGCGCCTCGCGCCCCCGCGCCCCCGCGCCGCCTCGAGCTCTCGCCGCCGCTGAGGGGTAGATTGTCCATCACCACTGCCACATGTAGGACGGGGGAGAAGGGATGAGGAGGAGGAGGAGGAGGTCCTCGTCCTCCTCCACCTCCGCCTCCTCCTCCTCCTCCCCCTCTTCCTGTTTACGTTAGACCGGCCGTAGGTTACCCTGTGGCGTTAGACCTCCTCCTCCTCCCTCTCCTACATATGGCAGCGGTGCCGGAAAATGGGCCCATCCGCTGCGCCCTCGCGATTGAGCACATCACATCCAGAGATCATCCGCGCCCTCGCGGCCTGGGCTCTGGTCTCAAGGCGAGGCCAGGGCGGAGAAACAAAATTCGGGTGAGGAGAAATCGAGGATCCCTGAGATCCGGCGGCTCTGGAAAATGTATCGGGCGCGCCGCGGCCTTCTCAGAGCGTTCCGGAATGCTCTGAGAGCTTTCCAGAACGCTCTGGAACATATGTATGCTCGTCCTAGCCCCGTGAGAGGTCTCCTAGAGGGGAAGAGAAATGGGATCATGACCAAGACTGAACGCGAAAGCGTGATGTCGGTCTCGGTCACAGTCGTTCTTCGTCAGCGCCGATTCGTGGATCATCCTCGCGAGACCGGCGACGGCCGACATGGACCATGACCAAGATTGGCATCGACAAGATCCTGCGACATCTGGGTCATGGTCCCACTGTTTCTGCCCGCGATCTGGGCAGCGATCCCGTATATACGCGGTCGCATATGGATACCCTTCGCGCCCCAGGAGCCCAGCCCGTGAGGCCGTGGATGCGGGCATGTTGCCCGTCCACGACGGGCACGAGTCGTAGTCCAGGCGCCTTGCAGAGCACCCCACGCACAACCACTAGCAAGCTTGCCGCTGGGCCGCGTGTCCTGGCAAACAGCATCATCCTCGCTCCTGGCGCCCGCTTTTCCATGTAACAGTCGTTACCCCAGGAGGGGGGCATCGGACGGGACGGGAGGGTAACCGTAACAGCGGCCGCGGCGTGTACCCACAGGTATGCGTCCGCGCCACCGGCGCATCAATCGCCTATGTGCGCCACAGCATGTAGGGGGGGTCCAGGTCACCCCCCCAATACGATCATTAGCGTTACCCGGGTGGGGAGGGGGGGTTGGCCCCGGTAACAAGCGTTAGGATGTAAAAAAACGCTCACCTAGTCCTCCCGGTCCTGGTCATGCCTTTGGCGTATTCGTCCTCCTCTCCTCCGCATCTCCTCCCATTCCAACACACGTGCTGCCCGGGGGGGGCACTTTCTGGAGGGAGTGGAACTGGAGGAAGAGAAGAACGATGAGACGCGGGAAGTGAAGCCAGGAGCAGGACTCGAGCTAAATAACGTTTTTCGTGTTCGTGTTGTTCTCGTGTTCCTTCGGTCTGTGTTCGTTCTGCCCTTGCTGCAAAACGAAATCAAAAAGAAAACGGTACACGAAATCGCCGAAAACACTGTCTGGCTCGATCCCTGGATAGGCGACGAGGTGGAGGAGGAAAGGGGGATCGCAAATGTAGACAAAAGTGGGACCAGCCGCACAGAAACTTCTAGCACAAAAACCTTGAGAAAATAGGATGTTGCAGGGAGATCCGCGATCAAACAACTTGAGAGGGAGCCGGACCACCAGGTAATGTCTGCTGCTGATATTCGCGATCGGACGGATCGAGCATGCGTTGTTGCTTCGAAGAAACTGCAGCCCGCGCATCGGCAACAGTTCTTTCTGTCAATCGGCAATCCCACGAATTCCAATGCCCGCACTGGTCCAACACAGACTGAAGCCAACAAGTGCAGCGGACATGGAGCCCGGAAGGCACAGCAGTTCGGAAAGCTCCAGACTCGCGACTGGTACAACAGGACCTGGCGTGGCTATTGTGACACCTGCGTGACAGCATGATTCAAAGACCAAAGAGCTTGCGCAGGCACCTCGGAGGGCGTGTTCTCGAAGGCTGACTGGACCTGATCGCGCACGCGCCCCTAACACACAGACTGCCAGCGCGAGCGAACGCGGCCCTTCAAGCCGGCAGTCTCCCGCGCAAGCCTCTGACAGACACAAGGCCACAAGCATAGTGCAAACATGGTAGGGCACACGCAGATAGGCAGCGCGCCCATGGTGAAATGTAGAGGGGGTGGGCCTCATCGGGAGGCTCGGAAGGCCTCCAGCCTTCTGAGAAGCTGTCTAAGCCTACTCCAAAGACAGATATGGTTTCTCGGAAGCCCTCTGGCCTTCTCAGAAGTCCCGCGGCATTCTGAGACAGCTCTCACTCCCCCCACCCCCCTCGGCGCGCCGCCGAGCAAACGCCCTCCATCCTCCACCGCTCTCCGTTGCGCGCATCTGTCCAACTACGGCAACCTCTGGGTCTTGTTAGCTGCGATTCAGGGTTGGATGTCGGGTCTGCGGGATCACTGGGCGTTCGGACACCGACTGGGCAGGCGGAAGAAGCATTACAGGTGCGGGATACAGGCTGGGCTATCGCGCGAATCGCTGCGAGGTCGCACAACTGACGCTATGCACTGCTGTGGCACTAAAGGAGACACATACCACATGAGATAAGAAATCCTACTGTAAGACATTTTGTGGGCATATGATTTGTTCGTCAACACTTGAGGGTGGTATATTGCCCCAGAGCTTTTGCGCGCCCCCAAGGTCATCGGGGAAAGAGAAACTACCGTGGGGCACCTGCTGACAGGCCGGTTTTGTACTCGACGTGCCTACTGCAGGCGGTGTGTTTCATGGATTGGAGCTAGCACATGCAGCGAGAATGATGGCAGTGAACCCACAAGCGAGCCACTATTCCATTGCAGGTCTCTTGCAGACATTATGTAAACATATCCACATGGCTAGCACTTCTGCTGACGCCAATGCCGTCGCGGCCAGACCGTCTTGTACGCCAAGTCTCGCTCCTGCAATCAAGAGAAGATATGCCATTGGGAAGCATGATGAAGGACATATGCTTTTTACTCTAACTCTACAAACTGAGTCGAGACGATGGCTGGAACGTGCCGTGTGATGATCACCCCCACAACCCTGAATATCGGAAGGCCAGTATACACATATAATCAAGCACTGCTTGTAAACGGCGTAGGAGCTTGTAGCCCTTCTGTTGGCCGTGCTTCGCTCCAGCGTGAAATTTGCGTAAGCTGGAGATCACACGCAGGCACACACAAGCCTCGATTCGAGACTCGCAGCATGATGCCTAGAGCTTGCGACCATTGTGAAACTACCAAGAAACGATGAAGGCATAGAATTGGGACGAAGAATATCGAACACACGACACGAGCACCCTGAACACAAACAGGCTGCAGCGAACCCGACTCGGCGTTTGCTCAGACCCTAGATTCACTGCATGTCCTGCTCTGCTACTTCTCTCCATCTCTGTAGCGTTGATTCTCGATCTGCCGTGCATGTCCCACTGTCGCCTCCCGAAGCCTCCCTGTCTCCCTCCTTTCCGTGCTCCCTTTCTCATCGATATCATGCCGCCCATCCCATTCTCTACAACAATTTGCTCAAAGTGCTTCCCTCTCGTCTCGCCTGACCCCCCCCCACCCCCCACTCTCTCCCCGTCCTACATATTTCTCCTAGCCCCAGTGCAAGAGAAGGGGAGGGGAGGAGGAGGAGGAGGAGGAGGAGGAGGAGGAGGAGGAGGAGTAGGAGGAGGAGGAGGGTGAGGAGGGTGAGGAAGAAAACGCCGACGACGAGGAAGAAGAGCGGCCCCGATCCCCAAACGCATATCCCGCAAAGCCCCCCTGTGCCTGCACTGTCCGTTCATCCCCTCCCCGCATCTTTCCTGCCCTCCCTCCTCTGCTGGACGCCAGCCCCTCTGACATCCTGATGCTGTAAGGTCCCGCGGGGCCCCGGAACCCCCGAAAACCAGGAATATCTGAAAGGCACGCCCGAAAAAGTAAGGGAAAAATGGGTAGTGCGATGCCAGACAACAAATGCGACTACCAGTACCAAACCAACAGCATCCGCGTTGACACCGACAACGAATCTGGTTCAAAACGGACACGAGCTGCTGTTGGCCTTCGTATCCGTCTTTCCGAACCCATTTCGCTGTGCGATCTGAGAGCTGGCTGGTCTTGAAGATGCCTCGGACGCCGCGACCGTTCTAGGGCGTCCCGGAGCGCCCTGCGAGCGTCTCTGGCATACTCAGCTCTGGAACGAGCTCTCCCAGAGGCCTCCCTCCCGAACGGAGTTGAGCACATGGGGTCGGAGGATCGCGCCGCATCGCCGATGCATAGGTGATGCTTTGACGACGTCGACGATGCATCGGCGCCATCGACGTCGAGCGTTGCCGATGCATCGGCGATTCATCGGTGATGCGTTGACGACGTCGGCGATGCATCGGCGCCATCGGCGTCGAGAAAATCTGGATCCACATCGAGCAGCATCGCCGATGCATCAGCGATGCGGCGCGATCCGCCGACCCCATCTACGGTAAATTCGCGCGGCGTCGGCGCGCGCACAAGTTTCTGACACCACGTCGGTCGTGCAGCCTTACATCAATCGCGGCCCCGATCGCTCAAGGTTGAATTCAGCCGGGTCCAGTGGCGCTACCGTGTCTACTGGCGATTCCGCGTCGCAGCATGAAGCCTGGAACGCAATCGCCAGCGCCGCCGGCGCGCCGACACCGCGTGAACCTGCCGCACTTCGATCGACGCCACGTGGAAAGCCTGGAGATGATCTCTCCGCGGTACTTCTCGGGCCACGCCGGCCTGCCAGGCTCCCCTCGCGTCGGGCAAAAGGGGGGGATAGCAAAGGGGGGGGGTGAGAATCAGCTCACGTATAGCTGATTTTCCTGGCGCCTCCCCGGCGCCGGGAGGCGCCCATGCATTGAGGAATGGGCCCCTCGGTGGGGCTGAAACCAGCTGCATGCCGCAGATTTCGTAACCCCAGGGGAGGGCCCCCCCTTTCGCAAAAACCAGGGGCCCGAACCTGTTGCTGTTGCAGCAGCTGAAACCAGCTTGCATGCAGCAGGTTCGGGCCCCTTTCGCCCGGCCCGACAGGCTCCCCGGGGCCCGAACCCCGGGCGCAGACGCCCGCGCGGAGGGAAGCCGGCGAGGCGCCCGGAGCTCGGGTCGACGCACCCTGCGGCGGCGGGGCCCAGACACCAAGGTTCCAGTACCGCTACACCACAGCTCAGAGTTAAGAAAAAATTGTACGCTGAGGAAGTCGACTTCACTGCAGGCGCTTCCGCAGACAGTAACTAGTCCAGGTCCAGATGCGTATACGAACATTCTACGAAGAGTAGAAGCTCCAAGAAAATGCCCAGGGTCCAGTCCAGATTCTTGATTCTTTTGAGCGACTTCTGGAGCAAACGAGAATGCACGCTTTTTCATTAAATTTCTTATGGGTGTACTTCCCAGACCTCTCCCAGGTTGCGTTCCGGCCACAATTTCGAGGCGCATCGACGAGGGCCTCCCAGGAGGCCCGACAAGGCGAACAAACGAGGGGAAGGCAGCGGCACCCGTACGTACGCGCCTCATCCCCCCCTGATCCTCGGCGCACGGCAGCACGATGGAGATGGTCTTCGGCGACCACCGCAACGCCTTCACCGCTGGCCGCCCGGGGCTCGCGAGGCGGCCGCGCGGCGGCGGCGACCCATGGGAGGCCCTCGCGGGGGTCGCGAGGCGCCCGCCGCGGAGGGCCCCAAGAGGCGCCCACGGAGGCGTACGGCAGCCCCGAGATGCAGAGAAGCGCCCCGAGGCCTTCGTCTCCCCAGTCCCTGGACCCTCGAGGGCGAGGTCGTCGAATCGTCGAACGACGACGACGACGACGACGACGACGACGACGACGACAATTCGCCGGATGATGACGACGACGACGACAACCACGACGACGACGACGACATCGACGACGACGACGACGACGACGACGACGACGACGACGACGACGACGGCGGCGGCGGCGACGACGACGGCGACGACGACGACGACGATTCGTCGAATAGCGGCGAGGCCGGGCGTGCTCAGCGGACGGGCGCGCGCGCGTCGGGGCGGCGAGGCGGCGGGGGGCTGGGCGGGAGGCGAGAGCGGGCGGGCGCCCTCCGCACTGCGGGGCGGGGAGGGCTCCACTCTCGGGGGGGCAGCTCCTGGGAGGTCTCCGGCAGAACGATTGCTTCTGTTCGTCGGCGGCGAGGCCGAGGCAGTCTCGGGTCGGGCGAAAGGGGGGGATAGCAAAGGGGGGGTTTGAGAATCAGCTCACGTAGCTGATTTTCCCGGCGCCTCCCGGCGCCGGGAGGCGCCCATGTATCGAGGAATGGCCCCCTCGGTGAGGCCGAAACCAGCTGCATGCAGCAAATTTCGTAACCCCCCCTTTCCCAATCCCCCCCTTTCGCCCGGCCCGACAGTCCGCTCCAGCGTGTGGCTATTCGGGGCAAAAGAAAGGCGAACTGTCCGGCGTGCAAGAGGGAAGAAACAGACGAGGGCGGCCGCGCGGGGGGGCCAGAACGATGACAGTCGTGCTGCTGAAATACTGTCAAGCCGTATAGCAAGGACGCACGAAAAGGATGCAAGGGGCCTTGGGCGGCCATGTCAACACTTCTGCGAGCGGGCCGCGGCCAGCAAAAGTGGCCAAGGATGGGCCGAAGGGGACGCATGCGCGGGTAACCTTGAAAAGATCGCTCATCCCGACTATGCGGGGTAAGGAACACGAATCAAGAAAAGAAGCCCCTTCCTGGCAATGAAAGATCCAGGGTGCACGAGGAGGGCTGGGGGAAGAACCGTGGAATGGCCTAAGGAACAGCGAGCCTATTCCGAACCCAAAACGATCCTTGTTTCAGCGTCTTGACTGCAGGGGCTTCTAAGCCAGATGAAGATGGCATTGAGCCAAATAAGGCCGATGTAAGCCCAACATGAAACTGGGTTGAGCAGGACTGCGCCGGATTAGGCTAGATTAAGCCGAACTAAACGGTTTTCGATCAGAGATATGCTAGCGACGAATCTGAGATTCACCTCCCAGGAAGTGCATCCTGGCCACACGCACGGCCTGGTGCCGTGGGACACTCGTTCAACGGAGGGGGGGCGCCGTCTACCCGCCCATCTCTGTCGTCTCCGTCCAGAGACCCGGCGGCAGAAGCAGCGAGCAGCCATCCAACACGAGGGTGCTGTGGAGAGATCGCCACAATCAGGCGTCCATGTCTGCCGTTGTCATTGTGCGAGCAGTGTGCCACCCACGCCCTTGCTGTGTTCGCATGCCGCTGCCATCTTCACTCGATGCCTGACGAGCCCTAGCGGGGGCAAGCTGACACGCGTACTGAAAAAGGCACGGGCTTGAATTGAGCAGGGACCGACCGTCCCGGCATTCCTACAGGCCTACCACGAAATTTTCTTGGACCCCCAAAACGCTCGAATTATAAAAGTAATGTTCTTAGAACATGATACCGATGTGCTAAAACAAGATAGTCTCAACAAGAAATGTTCAAAGAACATCCCATGCAGACCACAAGAGATGATTCAACCATTCCTCGGTGGGCCAAGAGGCGAGCCAGGACGCTACGCCACTGCTTGAGTGAGAGCACGAATCAGGTTGCGGGGAGGCGGCTCGGAGGAGGCGTGGGTCTCCTCGGAGCCCAAGTCCTGCCAGCGCGCTACCAGAATGCACGCTACCCGAAGAGCGGACGGGCTCGTGCGGCCACGGCGAGCCTCGGCCACGAAAATGACCCCCCCAACCCAGACCGCAGGAGCGGCCTGGAGACCAGAGCCCCCACCTGAAGCCCGACTTGGTCCTTCTGCCTGAAGGGGCCCAGGGGCACACACATGAAGAGACACGCATCCCAAGATTCCCGATCTTTTCTGGATGTTCGCCTTCCCCTCCACTTCCAAGTCGCTGTAACACGGGGGATCGACGATTACTTGTGTCTGTGTGTGTGTGTTGCCCTCCTGGGCCGCTCTGGCCCGCTCGACGCGGAACTCTTCCACGTCTGAGCGCTCGATTGCGGTCGAAGTGCAGCAAGATTGCGGTCGAAGTGCAGCTCAGTCACCCACCGCTAACATTAATCATTTTGGAGCGGCATTGGCAGATCAATGAGGCATGAATGTTCGCAACTTTCTTCGGACGCCTGTGGGCGATGCCTCGGGGTAGGCCTCCAAGTAGACCCGCTCTACAGGCTTCTGCTGGCGTTGGGAGTGGCAGATATTGTAACAGTAATAGTGGCAGTAGTGGTAGTAATGGTTGGATGCATTGGAAGCAGTAGCAGAAGCAGTCGCAATAGAAATCGTAGTCGTCGCCGTCGTCGTAGCAGTAGTAGTAGTAGCAGTCGTAGTCGTAGTAGTAGCAGCAGTCGTAGTAGTAGTAGTAGTAGTAGTAGTAGTAGTAGTAGTAGTAGTAGTAGTAGTAGTAGTAGTAGTGGTAAAAGGAGTAGTAGTAGCACTAGTAGTAGTAGTAGTAGTAGTAGTAGTAGTAGTAGTAGTAGTAGTAGTGGTAGTAGTAGTAGCAGTAGTAGTAGTCGTAGTAATAGTAGTAGTAGTGGTAGTAATGGTAGTAGTAGTAGTAGTAGTAGTTGTAGTTGTAGTTGTAGTGGTGGTAGTAGTAGTAGTAGTAGTAATAGTAGTGGTAGTAGTAGAGGTAGTAAGAAGAGTAGCACTCGTAGACATAAGTGTGGTAGTAGCTGTCATACGAGTAGCGATCGTAAACGCAACGGTAGTAGTAGAAGTAGTAGTAGCAGTTAGTAGTAGTAGTAGTAGTAGCAGTAGTAGTAGTAGTAAGAGTAAGAGTGAGAGTAAGAGTACAAGTAAGAGTAGTAGTAGCAGTAGTAGTAGTAGTTGTAGTGGTAGTAGTAGTAGTCGTTGTAGTAGTAGTAGAAGTAGTAGTAGCGGTAGTAGTAGTAGTAGTAATAATAATAATAATAGTCGTGGTGGTTGTAGTCGTAATAATACTGGGTGTTCATCGTCGTACTAGTAATAGTATTGACAGTACTGGTACTAATAGTAATAGAAGTCGTAGTAGTAGTAGTGGTAGTAATCGTAGTAGTAGTAGTAGTAGTAGTAACAATCGTAGTAGTAGTAGTAGTAGTAGTAGTAGTAGTAGTGGTAAAAGGAGTAGTAGTAGCACTAGTAGTAGTAGTAGTAGTAGCAGCAGCAGCAGTAGTAGTAGTAGTAGTAGTAGTAGTAGTAGTGGAAATAACAATCGTAGTAGTCTGCGTCCGAGCCGTAGCCATCAAAGAAGAAGTAGTAGTAGTAGTCGTAGTAGTAGTAGTAGTAGCAGTAGTAGTAGTAGTAGTAGTGGTAGTAGTAGTATTAGTAGTAATAGTGGTACAAGCAGTCGTAACAGTAGTCGGCATAGTCAACATTGTGGTAGTAGTAGTCGTAGTAGTAGTAGTAGTAGTAGTAGTAGTCGTAGTCGTAGTCGTAGTAGTAGTCGTAGTCGCAGTAGTAGTCGTAGTCGTAGTCGTAGTAGTAGTAGTAGTAGTAGTAGTAGTAGTAGCAGTAGCAGTAGCTAGTAGTAGTAGCTAGTAGTAGTAGTAGTAGTAGTAGTAGTAGTAGTAGTAGTAGTAGTAGTAGTAGTAGTAGTAGTAGTAGTAGTAGTAGTAGTAGTAGTAGTAGTAGTAGTAGTGTAGTAGTAGTAGTATAGCAGTAGTAGTACGTAGTAGTAGTAGTAGTGTATAGTAGTAGTAGTAGTAGTAGTAGTAGTAGTAGCAATAGTAGTACTAGTAGCAGTAGCGTAGTAGTAGTAGGGGCGTAGTAGTAGTAGTCGTAGTAAGTATAGTAGTAGTAGTCGTAGTAGTAGTAGTAGTAGTAGTAGAAGTAGTAGTAGTAGTAGTAGTCGTCGTCGTCGTCGTCGTCGTCGTCGTCGTCGTAGTCGTAGTAGTAGTAGTAGTAGTAGTAGTAGTAGTAGTAGTAGTAGTAGTAGTAGTAGTAGTAGTAGTAGTAGTAGTAGTAGTAGGAGTAGAGTAGTAGTAGTAGTAGTAGTAGTGGTAGTACGGGTAGTAGAAGTAGTAGTAGTAGTAGTGGTAGTAGTAGTAGTAGTAGTAGCAGTAGTAGTAGTAGTAGTAGTAGTCGTAGTAGTAGTAGTAGTAGTAGTAGTAGTAGTCGTAGTCGTAGTAGTAGTAGTAGTAGTAGTAGTAGTAGTAGTAGTAGTAGTAGTAGTAGTAGTAGTAGTAGTAGTAGTAGTAGTAGTAATAGTCGCATCCGTAGTCGTACTCGTAGAGGAAATATGATGTACGATGATCTGCTACCCTTTATGAGAATATCGCAACTTCGATTCGTGCTGCCCTAACCGCGCACCCCGGGCAATAATGAAGTTCGGCCTCCCCGCCCATTTCCCCCGACCAACTCTGGCTTGGCCTGGAGTAATCAACTCTGAGGGGTTAAGGGAGGCGTCCCTTTATTATCCGGGGTGCGCGGTTAGCGGCGTGTGCTTGCAAATCGCTTCGCCGGTTGGCTTCTGGCTTGTTCAGGTTTCTCCGCTGTCACGAGAACGCTCATGAATCATCAACGAAATTTGATTCAGCGGGACCCAGAAGATACGATGCGAGAGCGTGCAGCTGATAGAGCGACAGCCCACCCCCCACCCGTTTGTGTTGATGCACGGCCCTGCTCATCAATGAACAAGGCAATGACCAAGGCAGCGCGCCTGGGCATCGTTTCTGGATGGCCTGTTGACGGTACACAAAATGTCAAGACTTCAAATAAAGGTAATCAGCCCCTAAACTGCTGAGATTTCGTGCAACACCTTGCCCACATAAGCTGAAGAGGATGTGGGGTGTCCAGTAACTGCCTTTGATGCATCTAGCAGCCAGCTCGGTGCGGGCGCTGCTATTTGTGTGTGTGTGTGTTTGCCACGACCTGGTCGACTGCTGAGGGCCTTACTCGATGAATCCCGGCCTGGGACGTCGGCATGGCACATACGTAAAGACAAACTCGCCCTGTCAAGAACCGCGCTGCACAAGGCTTGTCCAACGGGGTGGAAACATGTCTCGTGCTCTCGCATGACGGGCCCAGGCATCTGCTCTCATATGCTGCTATGCTGCCAGTATCGCGCCGTGGTCCTTCCTCTCGTTCATCTAAGCCCTCCTCGACCGTCCTCGAGTCCGTACCCGTGTTCCTCTCCACGAAGCCGCGCAGACCCTCCCCGTCTTGACAGCGGCTAGCTTTTTGCACGCGCGAATTTCTCCCGTGGCGGGCGCCGCCTGGCACCGAGCGCACTGGCACGCCCAAAAAACGGAAGCAACACGGGCCCGGGCCGCGAGCCGGCAGCTCATGCGCCGAAGCGAGCACCACTGCGGAGCCGCTCGGCTGCTCGGCCCTCCGATGCCCGACCATACAAGCCGCACCCCGCGCCGCGTCAGTTGCGCTGGGCGTGCGGCACGGGGGAGTGTCGCCCCGAGACGGCCTGCGCCCCGCCGGCCACGGGAGCCGACGCCGACAACGGCCCAGGCGCCCAGCTTGCCGCCTGGGAGCGCGCCGTGGAGGGCGACTGCCCAGCGAAGGGCTCTGGGTACTGCGGGGGCTGTGGCCGCCCAGCCACGGGCTCCGGGTACCCAGGGGGCGGCTGTGGCCGGCCTGCGATGGGCTCCGAGTACCGAGGGATCTGCGGCAGCCCCGCAGTGGGCTCCGGGAACTGCGGAGGCTGTGGCAGCCCAGCGATGGGCTCTGGGTACTGCTGGGGCTGTGGAAGCCCAGCGATGGGCTCTGAGTACTGCGCAGCGTGTTGCCCTCCAGAGAGCGACTCCACATGCACCTCCTGCAGCTGTCTCCTGGACGGGGTGCCTGTCCCCGCCCACGCCGACCCGTTTATCAGCGCCGCTCCGAAGTTGGACACGGGCACGATCTCCATATCCCCGGAGCCGTTCTGCAGCTGCGGCAGCCCTTGCTGTGCCCGCGCCTCCATACTCCGCAGCATGTAGTCCCGCGCTCCAGACGCCTCCTGACGGAGACCCAAGGTCTCTGCGCGAAGCCGGTTGATCTCCATCTGCTGCGAGGTCGGCTCTGCGGATGCCACTGATGGCTGCGGCGAGGACGGCCGCTGCGCGCGCCCGACCGCGAAGCGGTCTGGATCGCCCAGAGCGCCAGTCTGCTCGATTTCCACGGGGACCGCGCGCCTGCCCTGTAGCTCCGGCGGGGGCGCCGCTTGTGCTGATGGCCCTGTCCACTGGGCCGCCGCAGGCACGGTGGAGGCCGGCGTGGCGACTGGTTCCCATACGGCGCCCGGATGCTGTGCAGCGAGGTTGGGGCAGCCGGGCTGCAGCGTCCTGCGGCTGCCACCCGGGTCGCCGCAAGCCTTGGGACCAGAGGAGGGTCACAAAAACGAGCGCATACCACGTCTGCCCAGGGGGGCACCCCACATCGGCCCGGGGGGGGAAGCACCGCTAGGATACACCAACACGGCGAAAAAAACGACCCTCGAGCGGAGAGTCCTCTGAACTTCCATCAGGCTCGAGGGAGGAGGAGGAGAGGTGGAGGAGGAGGAGGAGGAGGAGGAGAGGGAGGAGGAGGGAGGAGGAGGAGGAGGAGGGAGGAGGAGGAGGAGGGGAGGAGGAGGAGGAGGAGGTGGAGAAGAGGAGGAGGAGGAGGAGGAGGAGGAGGAGGGGAGGAGGAGGAAGAGGATGAGGAGGAGGAGCAGGAAGGAGGAGGAGGAAAGAGGGAGGAGGAGGCGGAGGAGGAGGAGGAGAGAAGGAGAGGAGAGCGAGAGAGAGAGAGAGAGAAAGAACAGAGGAGAGCGGAGAAAGGAGAGAGGAGGAGGAGGAGGAGGAGGAGGAGGGAGGAGGAGGAGGAGGAGGAGGAGGACAACGAGGGGGAGGAGGAGGAGGAGGAGGAGGAGGAGGGAGGAGGAGGAGGAGGAGGAGGAGGAGGAAAAGGGGGAGGAAAAGGGGGGAGAGAGGAGAGGAAAGAGGAGAGAGGAGGAGAGGAGGAGAGGAGGAGGAGGAGGAGGAGGAGGAGGAGGAGGAGGAGGAAAAAAAGGAGGAGGAGGAGGAGGAGGAGGAGGAGGACCATCACAGGCTAATGAGGAAGGCTAAAGTTAGGCCGACCCGACCCTAACCGAAACCTAAAGGTTACATCCGCTCACCTCTTACGCTCACATGTATCTTGCCTCGCCGCTCCCTCCTTGAGGAGCTGGACAGCAAGAAAGGGGAGGGCAAGTCGGGGGCGGGCCTTCATACTACTCTTGGGATGTCGGCCGCCTGACAGAAGAGACCACGCACCTTGGGAGAACTTGCTTTGGAAGCGCTCCATACATTCACCTTTGAGCCCTTCGAGGTTGCTTTCCGTATATCGGCCGCACCTTCGGCACACTACAATGAAGGACTCAATGTCGAGATAATCACATATCATAAGTTGGTGCTTCTGGGGGTCACGAATTAATTGTGAGAGAGTCGCCGAGTTGCCTGGGCACGGCTCCGCCGTGCGGGCTTGCTTGGTGGCGTCGGTTCTAGCTCTAGTATGGCATAGCAGGCACAGCCAGTGACCGTTCAGCCAGCCCCAAGCGTGCCTACTTACATTGGCACGTGCACTCGCACGCCTGGGACCCGCAGCAGGGGGTGGGGGGGTAAGCCACTCATGGACCGCACCCGCTGCCCCCGCAGGGGGATTGAGGCTCTTGGCTGGGGTGGCAAAGGCTTTCTTCCCAGTCTTGGGCGCCAGCGGCGCCCAGAGCGGGAGGGCCTCACCAACAAATCGCACGAACCTCTGCACCCTGCTGCGAGTCTCTTTATAAAATTCAATCTCCAAAGTTGACGGGGCTGGGGACGAGGCAGCAACATGTTTGGCCACCTTGTCCGCCCAGTCGTTTCCTTTTACTAGAAACCAGTCCCTCGAGCCAGCCTCCAGGGACTCAAGATCCTGGTGGGCCTTAACTTTCGCAATCTCGAGGGACCCGAAACTGGCCTGGGACCTGGCCAAAACAGAAACTCCAGAGTACATCTCTTTCCTACTAACCTCAGGGCTCTGGTGGACCGAGAGGATGCCTTTGAAATCGGCCCACGCCTTCGTGACTCTGGGACACGAGGCGGCAGCTAGAAAACCTAAGTGTTCGGCAGCAGGCGACGTCGGGGGCAGGCTGGCCCCCACGGGCCCCGAGAGGGAGGCAACTAGGTCGCCCTCCTCGTCGATTTTGACCACGGACCAGGCAGGGGCATCATAAACCGCGGGCCCAGGTTTTAAAACGCT